TACCAGAGTGCTTGGGGCCACCTGCGCGGTTGGGCCCAGAAAACGTAAAAAGTAATAATAATAATAAATATTTTTAACTTGATAATGTGTACCAACGGGCGCAGCTCAGTTGGTACACCACTTAACTGCTGAAATACTGACTTAACTAAGTTAAGTTCGAATCCAGATACTATCTGATGAAAATAATAAACTCGTCCATTCCGTTTTGGAATTATTATGTTCAAACTTCAAAATTCAAATTTCAAAAAAAAAAAAGTTCCGATGTGACCCTGATGTTGGTAGGTTTATCATTGTAGCCCAGCAATCGAATTCCACAGCCAAACGGAATCGAACCGGTGACCTCGGCTGTAGCAGCCGGATGCCTTTACCACTGCAACGGTGACCCGGTGTTCAAAACTGGAGCCATACCGGTTGTGCGACATTCAGCCCACCCCAGCACCGTTGCAGCAAGGATTTACATCGTCAATGCAGGACATCCATGAGATCTTCCGCAGGCAGCAGCATCCACACAAAATCCAAGACCCTCCGCAGTTGCCGATCAGCATCCCATACACCAAATTCCAGGTAAACATTCGCTGGCTGGTTAATGGGCTCGTACCTGTTGGTAGGTTATCATTGTAGCCGAGCAATCGAATTCCGCAGCCAAACGGAATCAAACCGGTGACCTCGGCTGTAGCAGCCGGATGCCTTTACCACTGCAACGGTGACCCGGTGTTCAAAACTGAAGCCATACCGGTCGTGACATTCAGCCCACCCCAGCACCGTTGCAGCAAGGACTTACATCGTCAACGCAGGACATTCATGAGATCTTCCGCACGAGGCAAAAGCTGTTTGCTTTAAGGTGACCTGCCAATGACTCAGTGCATACAATAGCTCAGTGCACCTGTCGACTAACAGAACACCTAATGAATTGGACAAGGGGCGGAAAGCCACAAAGCTTTATAGACGAACTAAACCGGAACCAGATTCAGAGACCAAACCGACGCTCGTGAGTTTGCACTGAAATATGAGAAATAAATAACTACAGCAAGTTACTAAGAATATTCGGCCGGCATGCTCAATTCGCCATTACTCATAGCAGACCTACGACAATTTCCCTCAGTGGCGTGTGACAGTGGTGCCTTGGCCTCCCGGCGAGTCACCTCGGTAACCCAGGAATCTGAGTTCGAGTATGGCGCAACCCGCTGCCGGCGATCAAGTAGCACCAGTCTCGGTCGATTACACCCCTCCCATGGATCAATGATTCCGCCTGATATGGATGGTAGATATGGCACTGACTGCATCGTAGATCAGGCCGAACTGCGGACCTGTAGACAGCGGAGACGAAGTCAACAGCTTCGAGTCAGTTGGCAGTACCAAGACCCAGCGGAGGAGGATAGGTGGTTCCCCAAAGAACAACTGGGCGAGACCGCCCCTTTGCGTAGTATCGCATTATGAGCAAGTACACATGAAGATTCGTCAGTTTGACTGGTAGCCGCTCCTGATGCTGTGTCAGCGTCTCTTCAACCCACTGCAGATGAACCATTTCTTAAACCACTACCTTCTTCCCCCGAATACAACGTACAGTCATTATAGCTGTATTTGAGGCATCTTCCAGTCTACATACAGCTATAATGACCGTACGTTGTATTCGGAGGAAGAAGGTAGTACTTGGCCCAAACAACCGGCCGCGGGAAAAAAAAAGGAAGAGTAGAAACGTTTCTAGTCAGATGAATTTGGGCGCTTCTATACTTGGCCTGCACGTTTCCTAAAGTGGCGGCTTGTTTACGAGCACCGCTTTAGGAAGTGCTGGTGGTTTAAGCAAAAATGTGTGCGTTGAGCTGATTTTCTGTGTAGGTCCTTTACTGCTCATCATTGAGGACGCAAAGCGCGATTGGCCTCGCTGTCTCAATTCAACTCAATTCAATTCAATAATTTCAATTCAAAGTGACAAAGTCTTGATAAGTATCTCAGCTTCTAGCTAACAAGTGTCGCTCATGGTGAACTGCTTCTGTCAGATCATGTATTTTCAGTCCAGTGGTGCACTGTTTCCATTATTTTGTGAGTTTTTTTCAATATTTCGTGAGTCTTTCTGCATGTTGGTGATTCGTTGATTTTGCGCATTTGCCGCATTGTCTCTCTCTTGATAACTTGATACGCATGCATCGGGACGACACCGCGTGGACACCGGTCCCCAAGCTCACTAACCCTGAATATAAAAAACCTATGTGCGCACCGTCCAACAAAGACCCCCCATCTGCACACTCTACGGTCATCCACCCCACCCCTGTATGGCGGAGTCCCGGCTAAACACCATGGGACTGAAAAACAATCCAGTGCGAACCTGGTACGGCAGTCAGTACCCTCTTTTTCCCAAGGCCAGTACCAACCTCGCTTAGACTCAGCAGGAGGAATAGCCAAAAATACTCGGAGGTAGTGGTGGTTTAAATGGGCCAGGCTTGGCAGGGACCGGCATCTGGGGCTTTTTTCTGCCTCGTGGGTTTTGTGCCGCTATACCTCTGGACGATTGTATTTGGCCTTTTCGTTGCAATTATATCGGGGTCCAGGGTGATACCTTTCTCAGCCCCTTTCGGCTAAAATCAAGTGCACTGTATCTGTTCCGATCAGTCTATGGATTAATGAGATTCCCCCACTGTCCCTATCTACCATCGTGCGAAACCACACCCAAGGGAACCGGCCAAAAAATAGGAAAAAAAAAAAAATCGAACCATGAAGACTCCATAATCTTTTTTTTTTTTTTTTTTTTTTTAATGATTCCCAATGGACCACGGATCAGATATTAGTATCATATTGTTAAACAATTATCAGAACAGATATTACAAACAATTACGAAAGGGAAAAAAAAAAAAAAAACCTCCCTTTGAGGCTTTGATCTATTTTTAGCCTGAAGGCCTCAGGGGGTCATGCTCGGCCTTTTAGGAACCAAAAAAAAAAGGAACATACCTTGCTCTCAGTCATATGCATGTGTGCCATTCGCTCACAGACTGTTGATTTTTTATTTATTTATTTATTTTTTACCCTAAAAGGGCTACGGGCTTGAGATATCAACATCAAACTGACTGGCCCTAGGTAATTCACAATTGTAGTATTTTTTACACGTCTGCTTCAAGTGGAGTTCGTGGCGTTCAAATGCGGGTCTGTATTTTAACAGTCCAGGGGTGTACCAACTGAGCTAGGCCAATTGGTGGTCTTAGTTTTCGTTGCCAGTGCTGGGTGTATAGCATACTTGCGGCGCACCAGCACTGTGCACTGCGCGGGGCGCTGCGCGCTGTGCGGGGACCCGAGGTGTGCGCGCACCGGCGCGCGCCGTGCATCTGGGTGCGCAGTGCGCGCTATGCTGTGCACGTCTGGTGTGCTGCGCGCGTGTGTGCAATGTATATTTCCATGTTCTAGCGGTACATTCATTTGATAGCACACTGTATATTTCCATGTTCTAGCGGTAGATTCATTCGATTTTGCTCATCCTATCGAGGGAAGTACCAGGAGGCCAGCTGCGAGGTTGGAGACTTACCTGCTCTCTCTCTCTCTCTCTCTCTCTCTCTCTCTCTCTCTC